AGTTAACATTTCATTTTTTATGGGGAATATATGTTACGTTTCAAAAATTAGAAGACAAAATGTTACAAAGGATATAATTCAAGGGGAGTTTTGTAATTAATGTCATTCATAAGCTTACTGTGATGGATGGTGAGTGGATATGAATCTTAGAACTATCATGCTCAGTGTCCTGTAGGCACGTGAATGAAAATTTGATTGGAATTCTAAATTCCAATTAACTCGTCAATTCAACTTGCCAACCACAATATTTGAAGTTAAGAAATATTTGAATTGACTCTTTAACGTAACTTGTAGAAATGAAGAATGTAACTGTTTTACAGTTATAGAACATGTAAGTATTTTTGTTGGCACGTTCAATTTGAGATCACAAGTGCGTTAGCAAAAGGCAAAGTGGCAAACTGTAGTTGTTCAACAAAAACAAAAAGGAAAAAGAAAAACAAAAAATGCAAACTGAAGTTTGAAATATGAGATTGAGGCTTGCATTATTGGCCGAACAAAAAATTCCAGCTGCACTGCATGCTAGCGTGTTTTCTTGACTTGGTTTCTTCATTTCGAAATAGAGGGATTTTTTTTTTGGAGTTGCCAAAGTCATGGTTTTATTAAGAACCAATTGGCGGACATCTGTCTAATTTGCAAGTTGAGGAATATCTGTAGTTCAAAGATGAATCCAGAAACTCCATTCCCTTACATCTTTTTTTTGTTTTTTTTTATTTTTTATTTTTTTATATCACAAATTTGTTTTCAAATGTGGAATTTTGAATATTATAGGCCCAAAATTTTAACACGAAAAAGAAAGAAAAATTAGAGTTTTTATTAGTTCAGACCGTAATGATGAATGCACTCTTACCGCCTATTTGTAAAGTAAAATTCAAAACCTATAAACGAGTAGATGTCTTCTTTCATGTATTAAAGAGGTGCATAGACACATGAGAACCTTCATGTATATTTATTAATGAAGAACAAACACAAAAACGAAAATGAAATAAAACATGGAAACTTCTATGCACAAATGTATTAGGAGTTTGACTTCACCTTATCATTTATATGTTCATCTTATCAAGTCAATGCTAGTCAATTCTACTCAATTCATTAATCAAGGGTTCAGAATTGATCTCATTACCTCTCTCGAGCGTCGAATGAGATAATATGCATAAATATTCGAGTCAATATCTCTATCTAACATGTCTACATATACATTCATTAAGTTCAGCCCTTAAATTGGAAATCAAATGTTGAGGAGGGCTGATTGTGACAACCATCAATCCCTTGAGGCACAATGCCAAGAAATGGCAAGTTGTGCAGTCCCACATCGCCTGAGGATGAAGATGAGTCCTTGTTTATAAAGAATGACACCATCTCTCAATAGTATGAGGCGTTTTAGGGTGAAACCAAAAAGTAAAACCGTGCGGACTCAGGCCAAAAGTGGATAATATCATACCAGGTGGGGGTGTGGATCATTACCAATCTCTTGATGTACAAGGCCAAGAAAGAATAAGTTGTGCAGTCCCATATCGCCTGGGGATGAAGATGGGTCCTGGTTTATAAAGAATGACACCACCTCCTAATAGTATGAGGCATTTTAAGGTGAAGCCCAAAAGTAAAATCGTGCAGACCCAGGCCCAAAGCAGACAATATCATATCAGGTGGGGTATATGTCGTTACATATGGTATCAGAGCCTCTACCCAGCCAGAAATATGGCCAACGAGGACGTTGGGCCCCCATGAGGAGGGGTGATTGTGACAACCATCAATCCCTTAAAGCACAAGGCTAAGAAAGGGTAAGTTGTCCAGTCCCACATCTCTTGGAGATGAAGATGAGTCCTGATTTATAAGGAATGACACAACCTCCTCGTTGGCCACATTTCCGGCTGAGTGGAGGTTATGATACCATATGTAACGACCTGCACCTACACCTGATATGATATTGTCCACTTTGGGCCTGAGTCCGCACGGTTTAACTTTTGGGCTTCACCCCAAAAGGCCTCATACTATTGGGAGCTGGTGTCATTCTTTATAAATTATGACCCATCTTCATCTCCAGGCGATGTGGGACTACACAACTTACCCTTTCTTGGGCTCGTAGCTCAAGGGATTGATGGTTGTCACAATCACCCCTCCTCATGGGGGCCCAACGTCCTCGTTGGCCACATTTTCGGCAGGGTAGAGGCTCTGATACCATATGTAACGACCCGCACCCCTACTTAGTATGATATTGTCCGCTTTGGGTGTGAGTCCGCATGGTTTTACTTTTGGGCTTCACCCCAAAATGCCTCATACTATTGGGAGGTGGTGTCATTCCTTATAAACGAGGACCCATCTTCATTCCCATGCGATCTGAGACTGTACAACTTACCCTTTCTTGGCATTATGCCTCAAGGGATTGATGATTGTCACATTTACAAAGTAAAATTCAAAACCTATAAACGAGTAGATGCCTTCTTTCATGTATTGAAGAGGTGCATAGACACATGAGAACCTTCATGCATATTTATTAATGAAGAACAAACATAAAACAAAAATGCAATAAAATATGGAAACTTCTATGCACAAATATATTAGGGACTTGACTTCACCTTATCATTTATATGTTCATCCTATCAACCCAATGCTAGTCAATTTCACTCAATTCATTACCTCTCTCGAGTGTCGAATGAGATAATATGCATAAATATTCGAGTCAATATCTCTATCTAACCTGTCTGCCTACACATTCAATAAGTTCGGCCCTTAAATTGGAAATCAAATGTTGAGGAGGGCTGATTGTGACAACCATCAATCCCTTGAGGCACAAGGCCAAGAAAGGGCAAGTTGTGCAATCGCACATCGCCTGGGGATGAAGATGGGTCATTATTTATAATAAATGACACCACCTCTCAATAGTATGAGGCGTTTTAGGGTGAAGCCCAAAAGTAAAACCGTGCGGACTCAGGCCAAAAGTGGAGAATATCATACCAGGTGGGGGTGCGGATCGTTATCAATCTCTTGATGCACAAGGCCAAGAAAGAATAAGTTGTGCAGTCCCACATCGTCTGGGGATGAAGATGGATCATAGTTTATAAGGAATGACACCACCTCCTAATAGTATGAGGCATTTTGGGGTGAAGTCCAAAAGTAAAACCATGCGGACTCAGACTCAAAGCGGACAATATCATACTAGGTGGGGGTGCGGGTCGTTAGATATGGTATCAGAGCCCTTACCCAACCGGAAATGTGACCAACGAGAACGTTGGGCCCCTATGAGGAGGGGTGATTGTGACAACTATCAATCCCTTAAGGCACAAGGCTAAGAAATGGTAAGTTGTCCAGTCCCACATCGCCTGGGGATGAAGATAGGTCCTGATTTATAATGAACGATACCACCTCCTTGTTGGCCACATTTCTAGTTGGATAGAGGCTCTGATATCATATGTAACGACCCACACCCCCACCTGGTATGATATTGTCCGCTTTAGGCCTGACTCCGCACGGTTTTACTTTTGAGCTTCACCCCAAAAGGCCTCATACTATTGGGAGGTGGTGTCATTACTTATAAACCAGAACCCATCTTCATCTCCAGGCGATGTAGGGCTGCACAACTTACTCTCTCTTAGCCTTGTGCCTCAAGGGATTGATGATTGTCACAATCACCCCTTCTCATGGGGGCCCAACGTCCTTGTTGGCTACATTTCCGGCTGGGTAAAGGCTCTGATACCATATGTAACGACCCGCACCCCAACCTGGTATGATATTGTCCGCTTTGGGCCTGAGTCCGCACGGTTTTACTTTTAGGCTTCACCCTAAAAGGCCTCATACTATTGGGAGGTTGTGTCATTCCTTATAAATCAAGACCCATCTTCATCTCCAGGCAATGTGAGACTACACAACTTACCATTTCTTGGCCTTGTGTCTCAAGAGATTGATGGTTGTCACAATCACCCCTCCTCATGAGGGCCCAACGTCCTCGTTGGCCACATTTCCGGCTGGGTAGAGGTTCTGATACCATATGTAACGACCCGCACCCCCACTTGGTATGATACTGTCCGCTTTGGGCCTGAATCCGCACGGTTTTACTTTTAGACTTCACCTCAAAAGGCCTAATACTATCGTGTACCTACACATTCAATAAGTTCAACCCTTAAATTTGAAATCAAATGTTGATCGCCGTTTGGCCTCACAACGACTAAAATCCTAGTTGATGGTTGAGGACTTGATCACCTCTCAGGCTCATAAATTCCTAGACTCTCTACGAGATTATGTAAGTGTCGATCTCCTCTCAGACTCACAACAACCTAGATTATGTTTTTCAATTTCGAACTATGAAATGAATATCTCTCAAGCATCAAAATCACAAATCTAAAATCACATAACTTGGAAACATTAAGCATAGAGAAACATAAATAAATCAAAATGAAATTTAAACTAACAATTGACAAAATATTCAAAACATAGTTCAAATAAAATTACATCAAGTCCTAGAATATACAATCTATAACCAAAATTACAAATTCAAGAACAAAAACTAAAAACTACAAAGAAAAGGGAGAAGGAAAAGAAAACTCTTTGTGGAGATGAACTTCAAGCGTTCAACTCTTCAAGACTCTCTCCCAAGCATCCTCAAAGAATCTCTAACTCCAAGCTTTTCTCTCTAGAAATTTTGTGCCTCTTATCCTCTCTTAAGTTGGAAACTAGGGTTTCTTTTACTTAAGTATGCTCAAACATAGAGAAATCTCAGTCACCCTCATCCAATGGTCCAAAATTGGCCATAAAACAAGTATAAAGAATTCTAAACCAACTTATGATTTGGAAATCTTTTAGCATGACAAGTAGGTGTTTTCATTGATTCTATAACATTCTTTTGGAAAAAGTTTCGGCTCAAGTCTGGACACAGAGCCAATTAGCCACTTTACTTGAAATTACTTAATAAACTCTTGTAGGCTTCAATGCTTGATCTCAGAAGCAATCAAAGTTTCTAAAAATACATATATCTCCTGCTTCGCACGGGGAAAAAAATAAAACACAAAAAACAAAACAAAAAAAGAGAATGTAACTCAATGCATATGAACAAAAGTGCAAACATCTTTGAGCACAATTTGTGTTCGATGACATTGCATGAAGGTTAGCTCAAGACACTTCACTCTATCGCTTTGATAAGCAGCACAAAATCACGGCGCCAAATCCCAAGATTGATATCTCTAAACTGTTGATACAATTCTTGTCTATTATTTAATCGAGTATAGAAGGACTATATCACTGTATTAGAAGATGGATCATGGCTAAATGAGTCGACAAATGCACCTACACTTTCTTTATTGCAGCCAGTTAGCTTCGCAAGGGCGAGTTCCCCACACTTCACCCATTGCCTCCGTCGCCCTCACGTGATTGGTAGAAATCATTTGGCCGTACAATGTTCACCTCTTCAAACTCATTGTCATCTGAAAGCAACAGGGAAAATTATTAACTCAAACATAAGGTGACAATTTAAAGTACACGCACTTATTGGGAAAACTTTTTTTTTTTTTTTGGATGAAACCTTACAATTTTAGGAAAGAATTCTTGCGAGTCAAAATCACAAATGCCACCAAATTACTAGACCAGAAACAACATTCTTTTAATGCCTTCTGCTAGTAGTTGTTTTTCAATCATCACTGTAAGTTACTAAGGATTTTTACTCTCAAGGATACCCCACTCGATTACTCTCTTCCGGCAGAACAAGAAAGAAGAATATTGAAGTGCCATCTAAGTATTAAGTGTCTAGGAGCTAAATTCCTCTAAAAGTCACACCGACATGTTAAAACTTAATTGCTTGAGATGGTCCTAAAAGTTGGCTAAAACAAGGGTAACATGCTCAACACAGAAAGGAGCATCCGAACAATAATCGAGTACTTTCTCAGGACACTTTGTAACTGAAAAACTTTGTCTCCTTCGTGTGGCTAAAACAGGTCAGGTTCTTAAAAACTCTATCACTGTTTATACAGTGGAATACACTTGAGAGTTGTAAATGGAGGTTTTCTGAAATATGAGACATATAGGCCTCATTCACTTCGCGGATTCGAGTTTTTAATTCGAGCTGAGATGTGACATTTTTTTAGAACTTTTTACTGTAGCAGAAAAAATTAGATGTGACATTTTTTGAGAACTTTTTACTGTAAAAACCTAAAACTGAAAACTCTAATCGGTGAAATAAATGAGTATATAGTTGCAGTAACATTTTCAAGAATCATCATATCAGGCACCATGACACTTCAACAGAAAAGGAGGGGAAAGTAGGTGCAATCTCTTGACAGCACAAAAATAGATTAGAACAGCAGAAAGTGACAACTATTAAAACTAAACATATCAGCATCTGCCTTAACAAAATAGATATTAAAATCATTCATATGATTTGTGATTTTGACTGCCAGTATTCATATGAGATTAGGGGGAAAAAAAAATAAAGGGATAAGAAATACAACCTTTTCTCAAAGTTAATGCCACGACAGCATCATTTTCCACCTGAAAAGGCATAAAAAATTACACTCAAACACATTAACAACAAATGTTTATAATATAATATCCTCCTCGTGATAATGAAATTTAGTTTTGAGTAACCAGTACAAGAGAAAACAAAATATAATCAAATAAACTGTACGCAATAAAAGACTGTTGCCTTCTCATCTGCCAATGTCTTTTGATCCTCCAGTACTTGCCCTGTTTGCCCGTCGCTCATTAGGATCAAAGACTGATCATTTACTGCTTGATAAATAAGAACATGCAATTTCTGTTTGATACCCAAAACAGTTTCAGTCGGTTTGCACTGGATAAAGTAAGTTGTCTTATTACGCTTCAAAGGATACATCCGAGAGAGAGCTGCAAAGAACACATAAAGCATAACTATAAAAATAGTTGAACCTTTCTGGAGATGAACAGAAGAGAGAAGAAAAGCAGAAAACCATCATGTATTTAGTTGTACCTATATTTCATCCATTCCCTAATCTAAGTATATGCCCAGAATATCCCACAATTTAAGCAAAAGCAACAAAAACTCCATAGACCTATTTTGAAGGGTCGAAATGTGCAAATATATTTACGAGATGAGTACAAATTTAATCTTCTTTGGGTATTAGTAGCAGTAACTTGTTACCCAATCATCCTAAAGATCTGGAAAAATAATCACTTCGTTTTCTCCCCCTTGATTTCCAACAACAAATTTCGACATTGGGAAATAAATGCACAAGAAATTATGCGACACTCTGAGCTTAAGAGCATGTTTGGTAGGAGAGAAAAGTGGGAGGAGGGAGAGGGGTGAGAGAAATAGTGAGGATTTTGGGAGCTATGGTCGTTTGGTAGGAGAGAAAAGAGGAGGAATGTGGATTAGACGAGTGGTTTCAAATCCTTCAAAGAAGACCAATTTCATTAATAGTGGAAAAAACTAGGGAGTTTCAGGTAATTTTCGCAGGGCTCTGAAGCAAATGGCTGTATTTTTTTTTTTTTTTTTTTAAAGTTGTTTTGTATAAAACCCAAGTTTAATGACCGTTTTAAGAAATGGTTAATCAATGACGGATGGAGTTCTTTTCTATTAGTGATTAACTTGTCCACCATTGATTGTTTTGATGATCTTTCACTGATCACTAATCTAGTAAGTTATCAACCAATATCAATTAATAATTTATCGATCCACTAATGATAGACTATTGGAAAATATTAATGAGGGGAAAAATTAGAAATATCACTCAAAATGGTAAAAAATATTATTCATGTCATTCTACTTAAAAATAAATAATTATTATTTATTTAATAAGAAAAAAATAAAAAGATAAAATGACACGTAATTATTTAAAATGATATAGATAGCAAATTTTTTTAAAAAAAATCATAACAAATCATGTACTTTTCTCTATCAATGATTGATCATTCTAAAACCCAACTACAAAAAAAAAAAAGAAAAAAAAAAAGGGAGAAAAAACAGCCTTTCCTTTCCGCTACAAAAATAAATAGAAGTTTTCCTTTTAAATAAGAAGGGATGTCTCCCCTCAAAAAAAAAAAAAAAAAAAAAAGAGAGCCCAAAATTGGCCATTAAAAAAAAAATGTTTTTTTTTCCAAAACTTACTAAAATGCGATTTTTAGTAAAGCATCCCAAAATGTGATATATCATCGAAACTTCATTCTCAATATCTTTTTCCTTTTATCATTCTTGCTCAATTGCAACTAAATTAGGATGCAAACAACTGCACTGACGAATACTAATAGACTGGAAAAAAAAATGAAAGAAAAAAAGAAACACACACACACACACACACATCCACATTCAAAACTGGTGGATATATCTATTTTCGTCGACAAAATTATAAATTTGGCACAATAAAACGATGAAAATTAGGTTTCTACTTTCCATGCGATGCACACTGATATATACCAACTTGATGTACATATTACAGAAATTACTTGCACAATTTCTAAGAAACTAAAACATATTTGTTTCACAACTCAAGTTGTACTATTTGTCCATTTCCAGAACTCCGGTTGGTGTGGCGGAGGAGATAGATAAATTAATGAGGTATTTCTTGTGGAAAGGTTTTTCTGAGGATAGTGCCTCTCATCTTGTGGCTTGGGAGCAAGTGTGTAAACCCAAAAAGTTCGGGGGGCTGGGTATCGGTAATATTAGAAAAAGGAATGAAGCTCTCCTAGCAAAATGGTTATGGAGATTCCGTGTAGGAAGAGATTTTTATGGCATAAAGTCATTGAAGTATGGGTTGGATAATAACGGTTGGTATGCTGGAGCAGCAGCCTCTAGAGTCACCTTGGAAAGCTGTTCAGTCTGTCTCAGCTCGGTATTTTCAGCAAGTTAAATGGAAGATTGGTTCGGGTGAGATCATCATATTTTGGGAGGATGTGTGGTGCAGTGAGATGCCTTTGAAGTTGAAATTTCCAGCATTATATCGTATCTCTCCCTTACATAATCAACCGATCGCGGACTTTGTTTCGTCGTCTAATTTTCAAGAGAGTGGGGTTTGATCTTGGGATTTTCAGTTTTCAAGAAATTTGAGGCCTCTGAATTAGTTTCAGTACTGGAAGGAGTAACTCTATGCAGTGTTCTTGAGGATCGGAGGATTTGGTTTCCAGATTCAAATGGGATATTTTCTGTTAAAAGTCTTATTTTTCTTTGCTGACATTAGAATCTTCAGCTGATTTATTTGATAAAATTTGAAAAAGCCATGTTCCCTCTAAAATTCAAGTTTTTTGTTGGCTCCTACTTCTTAACAAATTGAACACTCACAATTTGATGCAGCGTAGGAGTCCTTATCTTTCATTATCCCCAGGGTGGTGCGTTCTTTGCAAGGAGGTAGAGTCTGCTAATCACTTGTTATACATTGTTCAGTATCTCATCAAGTATGATCTTCGTTGTTAAAGGAATTCAGGCTCTCTTGGGTTACTCCGACAAATTGTTTGGAGTTGCTTGAATTTTCTTCTCCGAGTAGTTTTAGAGTCCATTTGGTATCTAAATTCGTTCCCTGATTCGAATCATGGTTCATGATTCGCTACAGTATTTTTTCTCACAAAAAATACACGTAAATTGAAAATGGTTCTAATCACATGATTTGAATCCATGAACCAAACGCCACATTAGTCTTAAAGGTTGAATTTTATGGAAGGTTGCTCTCATAGCTACTCTTTGGAGTATTTGGTTATAAAGGAATAGCAAAATTTTTGAGGGAGATCGGAGGATAGTTGAGTATTATGAGATAATGTAAAATGCCGGGTCTCAACATGGGCTAAGAGACCATTTTTTCATAGTGAGTTAGATGCTGGGCACCATATCTGTAAAATCTCTGATTTGATTATTCTATCTATCAGAGCTTGGTTGTTCTAGTTAGGGAAACCAAATTTTTATCAATAAAACTGTGTTTCTTTTCCCAAAAAAAAAAAAAAAAAAAAAAAAAAAACCTCAAGTTGAGAACTTGAGTTGTTTATGTGAGAGAGAACACTGTAACAAAAAAAGTAGAATTTAAATTTTATGAGAAAAAATATTATAGCAATAAAACTTGAATTGTGAAAAGAATCATGCTATTACTCTTCGGATCTTTGCAATAGCGCTTGTTCACTCTGTTACAAAAACATACTGTTCACTTTAAGAAAAACTCCAAATCACATTAGTAGATCAATGATTGGCAGTACTTTCTAAGAAATTGGATACGAAGATTGAAGGAGACAAGCCCTCAACAGCATCATGAGAACAAGAAAATTTGCAAGCAACACCGTTATAAACAAGAAAAGATGAAGCAAGCAACACCGTTATAAACAAGAAAAGATGAAGCAAGAAAACCACCTTAGCATCAGTAGTACTCTCTTCCTCGCAGCGAAACCAACACCGTTATAAACAAGAAAAGATGAAGCAAGAAAACCACCTTAGCATCAGTAGTACTCTCTTCCTCGCAGCGAAACCAGGCTCCTAGCATACGAGAAACTCCAATATTCTATATATTTAGCCTTGAGATTGTTGATCTCTCTAAGCTTCTGGCTATGGATGTCGCAAGAGCACAAAACTCCCGATTCTTTTTTTATAAGCAGCTCTTCATTGTTCAAACATTACTCCAAGAATATGAATCTTTGACACTATCATAACAGTTGTCCATCACCCATATTTCATAGGACATCACTTGTTCATCACAGAAAGAGTAAATCACAGCAACAGACTCATTCCACACTCTAATGCTCCATCTAGTTGGTGCAGTGCAAGCCGGTATCATTATGCTATGAAATACCTCATTGCACAAATCAAGGAAAGGATTATGCCCTCACGAATAAACCAATAAACAACTCCATTTAGGCAGACAGATTTTTCGGAAGATGGACAGCGATCAACTACATCATAATTGATCTCTCTCCAAGAATGAGTATTTAGACAGTACACCTCAGCTCTAAAAGATTTGCTCAAACACTCAGGCCCAAATATAACAACCTTGTAGTCATTGGATTTTGGATCATAGCCGAACCCCACTTCTGTGAAGACAAATTCATGGCATGGTTTTGGGAGAAGCTTGAATTCCTTGATTGCTGGGTTGCATAAGGTAAAGGTACCCGAATACGGATTAAATAGGCAAAAGATGCCATTACAATGATACCGCTCTGTTCCATAACCCGTATAATTGTAAGTCCGAATAGGCAATAAGCTTAAATCCTCAGTAAAAGAATGAATGTCGTCATCAGCATTGTCATCACTTAATACATTGAGCAACGAGAACACCAAGCATTTGTGTGTTTTCACCTCTCAGTGGCAGAAGTGGTCGCCACTGAAAAGTATGCGTGTAGAAGACATGGAATTTTGGAAGTGCTTAGCCACGAATACTGGGTCTTTGATGAGACTTTTGACAAGGATAGACGCAATTGAATCGTATTAGAGACTTAGGAGGCAATCAAGACATGATCTCCACCAATAGCTCCTTACACAGATTGCAAGAAAATGGCGCCTTTTCTGCTTTTAAATCAAAACAGAATTGGCAAAATCGATTCCAAATACGAAATAAGAACTTGAAAGTTAATGAAGGTGAAACTGAATGGAAACTAATATGCCAACTTTGTCTTTAAAAAAAGAACAGCAAAAAGTCCAAATTCCACTCGTAATTTTGAACTCAAAACCCATTTGTTTTCATCCCCTAACGGGATGAAAAGGAAACTACAATTTTAAAAGAAAAAATATAATATACATAAAAAAAAAATTCACAGCGATTTCACAATTAAAAAAAAAGGTAACAAAAATTATAAATAGAGACCTGCATGGAAATCTTCGGCTAAGAAGAAGCCTTCTTTATCTTAACTCAAATAATTGATAAAAAGAACAGAGTTAAGGGAAAAAAAAGGAAAAATGACCTGAAGTTTTGCCATTCAACTTCATCTTCATGGTGTTACTGCCACCAGGTTCTGAATCCATAATGTTTTCCGTTAAGTTTACAACAGAAATGCCAAGCTTCTTTTCATTCTGCACCATTATTAACACATCAAAATCCAACTTAAATTTCTTAGTTAAAAAGATGGTAGTCATTCATTTTCTTTTTCTTTGTTTCCATTCAGAAATTCAAATGTACATCAAATGCAGAAATAATTTGAGAGGGAAAGGAACCTGAGAACAGGTACAATTTGAGAGGCGCAAAAGTAACTTAGCGTTCTCAGCCTCTAGCTCCTGTTTGAACTAGAAAACCCGCCATTAAAACCCTAATGTGGAAACTCAACCGAACTTAGGAGAGAGAGAGAGAGAGAGAGAGAACCTGAATTCGGAGTTGGAGAGAGTTTATAATGGCCGTTTGGTTCGTACCTTTATGATTCTTGATTTTAGCATTTCAATTTAAATTTTTTATGTAAAAATAGTAACAGATTTAAAATTTTAGGTTTAAACGCATAAAGACCTTATTTATTTCACCGATTTGAGTTTTCTATTTTAGATTTTTACAGTTAAAAATTCTTACAAAATATTATATTTAACTTTTTCTTCTACAGTTAAAAACACATTTAATTTAAATTAAAAACTCAAATCTGCAAAACGAACGAGACCGAAATAAATGAGCCATTTTCTCCGTCCGCAGATTCCTTGGAGTTCGACATAATGGATTGCTCCATCTCCTTTGAGTCGAGGAAAGTCTGTCCGTTTTTTATTCTTTCTTTTTTTTTTTTACTTTTTTAAGGCACTCTCATAGAATTCTCTGGAGCTTTAATTACGACTTATTTTATTCAACAATTCAAACGGCAGAGATTTAAATTTTTTTAGTTAGAATTATAGAATTTGAATTGTGGTGATTTTGATTATGATTCGAACCGGTGTTTGAATATGCAAATAAATTATAATTTAAATTGTAAATAAAAACTGTCACTAGAATTTTATAATAAATCTTGTAAAACCTCATTGTAAATGATATTAAAAAATATATAATATGGGTGGGGATTTGTTCCATTTTTCATTATAAACACATTAAAAAAATCATCTCAATCAAAATTAAAACGAAAAAATTATGAATTTTTAAGATTGAAATTGAAGAGAGAGAAAAAGTTGAATCTGAAACCGTTAAACTATTGACAACAATTCGAATTATTAGAATTTAGAGGGAGGATGAATTCTAAAAATCAAGGGTTTGAACCATTATTAATGGTTTGAATTGCATTTCAATTTTCCTCTCCCCCATTAATTTGAATCTTGAACTAAGCTTTGAATCCTAACCAGCAGTTTGAGTTGTTGTAAGAAACATGACATTAGTTTTTCCACTCCAAATTTCAATAACTAATGTAATTTTTTTCTCTTTATTAAATTCTTACTTCTACTATTGTTGTTGGTTGCTAACCCTCAATGTTCCTTAGGTCAAGTAAATTAAAGAAAAAGTTAGGTGTAGTAAAAAAGATGATAACTTCTATTAGGTAATTACACTTCCGTGTGACTGCAGAAAAGAAGCTAACAAAGTAACTATTTATAAGATTGTTTAGCATCATTCATTGTTTATGTGATACGTGTTATTTTTAAAAAATTCTTTATGTAAGGACTTTTTGTTTTTTTAAGAAGATTGGGAGAAAACAAAAAAAAAAACCCAAAATTAAAGTTTAAAGAGCATTTTGTGACAAAAGCCTACAATTTAAGAAGAAACATGAAATTTGGCTTTTTCTAAAAATAAAAAATAAAAAAAATAATGACTTTTCCCATTTGTGAATTGTTCGGTATTCAACAAGTTAGTCCCAAATTTTTTTTTGTTTTTGTAAATTATTTGGTAAACTCTTGTAGGCTTCAATGCTTGATCTCAGAAGCAATCAAAGTTTCTAAATATATATATATATATATACACACACACACACGAAACAGCTTTAGTAACTAATCTCCTGCTTCACACGAAAAAATAAATAAATAAATAAAACGCAAAAAACAAAACAAAAAAGAGAAGGTATGTAACTCAATGCAAACGAACAAAAGTACAAACATCTTTCAGCACAATTTGTGTTCGATGACCATTGCATGAAGTGTTGGCTCAAGACACTTCACTCTGTTGCTTTGATAAGCAGCATGAAATCACGACGCCAAATCCCAAGATTGATATCCCTAAAGTGTAGATACAATTCTTGTCTATTATTCAATCGAGTATAGGACTATATCACTGTATTAGAAGATGGGTCATGGCTAAAAGGGTGGACAAATGCACCTACACTTTCTCTATTGGCAAGGGCGAGTTCCCGACTTCACCAATTGCCGCCATCGCCCTCACGCGATTGGTAGAAATCACTTGGCCGTACAATGTTAACCTCTTCAAACTCATTGTCATCTGAAAGCAACAGGGAAAATTATAACTCAAACATAAAGGTGACAATTTAAACTACACAAACTTATTGGACAAATTTCAAAAGTTATAAGGTGTTAAACGTTTTATAAACACCTTGATCCCTGGTCTAACTCGTCCTCCAACTTTCAAAGGATTCATCTATTACCAAACCAGAAAAAACATTCGTTTAATGCCTTCTGCTAGTAGTTCTTTTTCAATCATCGAAGTGTAAGTTACTCTAAGGATGTTTATTCCCAAGGATACCCCACTCGAATATTCTCTTCCAGCAGAACAAGAAAGAAGAATATGAAGTGCCATCTAAGTACTAAAGTGTCTAGGAGCTAAATTCCTCTAAAAGTCACACCAACATCCTTGATAGCAAAAAACTAGATTAGAACAGCAGAAAGTGACAACTCTTAAAACTAAACTGATATCAGAATCTGACTTAGCAAAATAGATATAAAATCATTCATATGATTTGTGATTTCGACTGTCGATATCCATATGAGACTAGGGAAAAAATAAAGGAATATGAAACACAACCTTTTCTCAAGGTTAATGCCACGACAGCATCATTTTCCACCTGAAAAGGCATAGAAAAAAAAAATTACACTTAGCACATTAACAACAAATGCTTATAATATAATATTCTCCTCACGATAATGAAATTTAGTTGAAGTAATAAGTTTAAGAGAAAATGAAGAATAATCAAATAAACTATATGCAATAGTAGATTGTTGCCTTCTCATCTGCCAATGTCTTTTGATCCTCCAGTACTTGCCCTGTTTGCCCGTCGTTCATTAGGGTCAAACACTGATCATTTACTGGTTGATCAATAAGAACATGCAATTTCTGCTTGATATCCAAAACAGTTTCAGTCGGTTCACACTGGATAAAGTAAGTTGTCTTATTACGCTTGACACGGATATACATGGCCTGTATAAATATGAAAGGATACATCAGAGAGAGAGCTACAAAGAATACATAAAGCATAACTAGAAAAATAGTTAAACCTTTCTGGAGATGAAATACAGGAGAGAAGAAAAGCAGAAAACCATCATGTATTTAGTTGTACCTATATTACATCAATTCACTGATCTAAGTATATGCCCAGATTCCAGAATACCCCACAATTTAAGGAAAAGCAACAATAACTCCTTAGACCTACTTTGAAGGATGCAAATGTACAAATATATTTACGAGATGAGTTCAAATGTAATCTTCATTCGGTATTACTGAGGATTAGTGAGGATTTTGGGACCTATGGTTGACAGTCGAGCTTAGAGCTTGTTTGGTAGGAGAGAAAAGCGGAAGGAGGGAGAGGGGTGAGAGGATTAGGTGAGTGATTCCAAATTCTTCAAAGAAGACCAATTTTATTCTCTACAGATATGGAGAGAATAGGGAAGAGAATCCATACCAAACTAAATAAGAGAAAGGTCTCTTTCCTATCCATTTTCCAACAAATTTCACAAATCTCAAAGAAAACTCACAAATATGAACTTCTAAGAATATCCAACTATTTAAACTAATACAATTCTTCCAAAATAGTAAAATATTAAAAATAAAAAATCATAAACAGCTATCAAGCAAACCAAAGAATAGCAATTTTCACCTGTATCAACCAAAAATCACAATAGCCAATTCCGAACACATCAATCATTATCAACAAATTCCACAATAAAACGAATTCCATATTCTGATTTCTACTTCATAAATTAGAATTTCAAATACAAAAATTCTACAATCCATAAACCACAACTTCAACTTCAAACAAAAACGACGAACACAATTGAAGCGCATTTTCATTCGTATAGTCAACAGCGGAAATCTCCATTGTTCGCACTCTCAATGTCCCCATTTTGCAAATTATAACAACGACATAATAAGCCAAATGACCATTATCATCCAATGAGCAAAGATTTCCATTCCTAAGCAAACCCACTTAGAGATTTGTAAAATCTATGAAATCCCGATCATAGAAACAAAGGGAAATGAAGAATCATAACAGAAACGTTTCCTGAAAGACCACAAAATCCCAAATTCAAACGAAAATTACAAACAGAAAACTAACCGTGGAGGAGCTGGGCTTGAAATCGGTGGATCAGGGAGAAGGGCTGACTCTCAGGCTTCTTTTCGAGATGCACCGAAACCAAGGCCGTGATGTACTAGGAAAACTAAGAGCCTGGTAAAGGGATTCCTTGATTCGAATTATAATCGTGATTTGTTAAAATATTAAAAAAAATATATATATAAAAAATAATTATAATTATATTGTTTAATTTATGAATCAAACGAATTTTAAGTTATAATTTATTATTTTATTCTTAGAGAAAATAATAATAATAAAAAAAAACCATCTTTTGTCTAAATATTAACATTTTTTCCCTCCCATTATAAAAACCCCAAAACATCCTTTTATTTGAAAAATCAGTCACAAAATATCCACTCAAGCAATTAAAGTTTAAAAAAATATTAAGATTATCCTTCCGATCTATATTAAATGTTGTTTTAAGTATGAATAAACTAATACATTAAATAAAAAACTTTTAAAAGGTTCAAATAAATATTTTAATCAAATTAATATTTCAATTATTTTGAGAATTTTTAAAAAATTGATTTTTTTTAACATTTGGCTTAATAATGTTTTAAATTGTATTTGATATAGACTTCAAAAAAATTTGTATTGATATACGTTGAGAAGGATAATCTAGCATTTTTAGAAATTAAATTGTTTCATATGATATTTTTTAGACTACTTTTTTTATCACGGGGTATTCAAAAACTTTTAAAAGGTTCAAATAAATATTTTAATCAAATGACTATTTCAATTATTTTGAGAATTTTTTAAATTTTGATTTTTTTTAACATTTGGCTTAATAATGTTTTAAATTGTATTTGATATAGAGTTCAAAAAAATTTGTATTGATATACGTTGAGAAGGATAATCTGGTATTTTTAGAAATTAAATTGTTTCATATGGTATTTTGAGACTACTTTTTTGAACACTGGATATTTTTGATATGATTCTATAGATACATAGAGTATTTCAAGTATTTGTGTAATAAAAGAGATAAAAGTGGTATTTAGACAAAGAGAAAATAAGGAAAATAACCCTTAAAATAGGTACCCAAATTTATTTCTACCCCTTAAAAATTAACTTATTGATTTCTACCTTTTTACAATTAAAATAATGAAAATAGTTAAATTAAACATTTTTAAATTTTCAAAGTTACCCTCAATGGTCCATTAAATAATTATAAGATATGCCGACAGTCTCCCGTTGCCAGTCGGCGGTTCTCCACCGTCCACCGGCGAGTCTCCGACCGGTTGATCAATACCTGACATGTTATTATCCATAACCTAACAGATTACAATGGCCACTGGCAGGTCTACGACCAACCGCCGGCTATAATCTATCAGGCTATGATCCATAACCTGACAGATTACACCAGCGCCGGCCATAATCTATTAGATTATGATCCATAATTGATAGATTATGCCGTTCGCCGGTCGTCGCGCTGGCCATAGTCTATCAAGTTTTGATCTATAACTTGATAGATTATGTCGGTCACCGTCGTCAAACATTGTATGACAAGTTATGATCGAGAAACTGCTAGTTTATGCTTCATAACCTGACAACTTACGCTTCATAATTTGTCAATTTATGAGACTATGATCCATAACCAGCCAATTTATGATCCATAAACTATCAGATTATGTATATAACCTGATAAATTATGCTTCATAACCTGCCAGATTATTAAACATAATATGCTACATTATGTTGTTTTTTCAACCAATTAGATTAAAAGCAACAATAATCAAATTAAAAAATTCAAACACAAAAGAAATATTAAATAATCAACTAAGGTCCCGTTTATTTCACCAATTCGAGTTTAGAATTTGAGTTTTGCTACAATAAAAAACTCTAAGAAACATTCACATCTAATTTTTTTACTACAGCAAAAAGCTCTCACATAAAATGTCATGTCCCAAAACAGGGGTTAGTGACGTGGAGGCTCGTTTAGAAGTTAAACATAGTTAAGAAAGTAATTAAACATTTGGAAATACAATAATCAAAACTAAAAGTAAAATATTAAAGCAATTTCCAAACAAGCCTCACATTTTTACTGAAATTAGATTATAAGAAATTGATCGGGACTTGCACACCTTTCTGATAAAACAAGTTTAAAACTAAGCCTCTGACATAATTTGAGATCTCACCCACAGGATATACAATATTGTACATACATGAACATGTAAATAACATTTACAGACATCAACCACAGTCTCGATATTCGAAGTTTATAGTCTTAGAATTTACAATTCTTACATTTATACATAAGGATGATGGATAGCTCAACTCCTTCTCGAATTACACAAGCTAGGATTGTCAGAGATTGCCCTTATTCTGCACTGCTTCTAGCATTGCCTGGGAGGGGTTTAATATTTATAGAAACAAAAATAAAACATGAGCACAAAGCCTAGTAGGATGTATTTAAGAAAAACTTTATAAACGAGTAAATAAATGAGTAAGTAAATAATTAAAGATATCCAGTTCCAATACAATAGCTGGAACCTAACATCCCTTTTTCTAAAAGGAAGTATAAACTTTAAATTCTGTATTACAGGCATCAACAAGTAATTTATACTATGATAAATTACTTACACAACCACAAGCACAAGCCTTAACATCACCGTAGTGGCCCAGTCTGGGTTTCGGGTTCTGCCCCTGAGGATACACACTGAATATCCTATCTAGACCATCAACAGGCTTACTAGTTCGTAAGATATCTTATCTTAAGAAATAATTTAATAAAACTTTGAGTCAGTTCATTATGATTCCAATAGCTAAAATCAAGCTATTATGTTGAAATACTTTTCTTTTTTAGTCATGTCCTTTCTTTAAAACATTCATAAGGTCAAAACTCTTTAAAAACAGGCTATCAAGGAAAATGACAAGAAATCTCACCTCTCAAGTACCAAACCTGTTACTAGCATTGCGCTATCCTAGCTTCCGCTTCCTCAAAGCCTTCAATCTGATTCGTCAACCAGCATTGATACAAAATAACGTTTTAGGATTCAATTCTCATTCCTAAAACAAATCAAGCTCAATTATATACTTCAATTTCATATTAGTGTGCCTTAATCCAATTTCAAGTTTCATAAATCATTACATGTTTCAAATCATCATTTCAAGGATTTTGATCTCAAAACATGTTTTAAAGATGCTGATCCAACTACTTTAGGTTCCCAAATGAAGCTAATTTGGGTTCTCTTTGAAAACTAGGGTCAAAACAGAGTTTTTAGACAAATTCAGGTCAGATCACGTGTGCACCGGTCGATTGGTGACAGAGAAGTTGTTCTTCACCGGTCGGCCGGTGAAGAAGGAACCGGTCGACCGGTGGGAGATGGACAGATTGATCGACATGGCCGATTCGAAGAAAACAGGGCCAAAACCTGCAAATCCGAGTTCAAATCCAAGATACTTTCGAAGGAATTCGACAAATCCAGGTTCCAACTGACAAATCAAGTCCAAAGAACTAATTTTCCCCAATTTCCATAATGATTTTAACCAAAATCCATCAAAATCCAATTCGAACTAAAAATAAGTTTTTCTGAAGGAAAAATTCAAGATTCAAGAGAAGTTTTTCAAAAATCTTACCCCAAATCCTTCCTTTGATGTTGAAATCTTCTTGAAGTTCCTCTTGGGTTCAAGATCTTGAGAAATGGTAACCAATTTTGAGAGAAAGAGAGAACGAGAGACAAGAGAGAGAGAGAGTGAGCCGAGGAAGGAAAGAAAGAAAAAGAAATAAAAGAAAACTAAAGGATAATCATTATAGGATATTTTAGAAACATATCAGAAATGTGTCTACACGCACTTTTAGGGTAAAAATATAAATATTAAAAATATTTAAATCCATTGGAAATATTTAAATTTACATATTAGAAACATTTAATGAACACAAAATTAATTAATTATTATTTTTTTTTTTTTAGGATTCAATTCTCATTCCGAAAAGAAATCAAGCTCAATTATACACTTCGATTTCCTATTAGTGTGCCTTAATCCAATTCCAAGTTTCATAAATCATTTCATGTTTCAAATCATCATTCAAGTATTTTGATATCAAAACATGGTTTAAAGATGTTGATCCAACTACTTTAGGTTCCCAAATGAAGCTAATTTGAGTTCTCTTTGAAAACTAGAGTCAAAACAGGGTTTTTAGACAAATTCAGGTCAAATCACGTGTGCACCGGTCGACCAATGACAAAGAAGTTGTTCTTCACCGGTCGGCCGGTCAGTGAAGAAGGAACCGGTCGACCGGTGGAAGGTGGACAGATCGACCATCGTGGCCGATCCGAAGAAAACAGGGTCAAAACTTGCAAATCCGAGATACTTTCAAAGGAATTCAACAAATCCAGGTTCCAAATGACAAATCAAATCTAAAGAACCAATTTTTCCCAATTTCCATCATGATTTTAACCAAAATCCATCAAAATCCAATTCGAACTAAAAGTAAGTTCTTCTAAAGGAAAAATTCAAGTTTTAAGAGAAGTTTTTCAAAAATCTTACTCTAAATCCTTCCCTTGATGTTGAAAACTTATTGAAATTCCTCTTAGGTTTAAGATCTTGAGAAGTGGTAACCAATTTTGAGAGAAAGAGAGAACGAGAGACAAGACAGAGAGTGAGCTGAGGAAGGAAAGAAAGAAAAAGAAATAAAAGAAAAGTAAAAGATAATCATTATAGGATATTTAGGAAACATATCAGAAAATGTGTCTATACACACTTTTAGAGTAAAAATATAAATATTAAAAATGTTTAAATCCCTTGAAAATATTTAAATTTACATATAAGAAACATTTAATGAACACAAAATTAATTAATTAAACCAGATTAGACAGACTAATAAATCTCAATTATTTTAATTAATCTCGTTTAATTTCTCAAAGTGTTACATAAAATCACATCTAAACTCAAATTAAAAATTTAAATCAGCGAACTAAATCAGACTTCAAATCAAAGAAACATAATCACTGGAGAAAAACTAAACTAATAAACAACAAGAAATCTTTACTAAACTTATGCATAACAGATGATAGCCTCAACACCACTCCTTCCATAATTCTTCATCTTTATTAGAATTGCCTTCATTTTCAAATACTTAAACGTAGAGTACAGCCAAGAATTGTTACCATTG